ACATGGTGGCTCACAACCATCTGTAATGAGGTCTGGTGCCCTCTTCTGGCCTGCAGGCATACACACAGACAGAATATTGTATACATAATAAATAAATATTTAAAAAAAAGAAAAGAAACTGAAGGCTTGGAATTAGTTAGCAATAGGAAATTATCAAGAGTACAGAAAAGAACACCATCAATGAGAATAAAGAGAAACAAATTTAAAAACACAAAACAGGAATCGAAGTTCTTAAATAAACAAGGTACAAGACACAATTTGGGCAGATCTAGCAGTCTACCCAGAAAGGTTCACAGGAGGGCTGGAGAGATGGCTCAGAGGGTAAGAGCATTGCCTGCTCTTCCAAAGGTCCTGATTCAATTCCCAGCAACCACATGGTGGCTCACAACCATCTGTAATGAGGTCTGGTGCCCTCTTCTGGCCTGCAGGCAGACATGCAGACAGAACACTGTAAGCAAAATAAATAAATCTTAAAAAAAAAAAAAAGAAAGGTTCACAGGAAACGATGCCAATTTTCTACTGCTTCAAAACAAACTGTACTAAAACCTGAATGTCTATAACTGAAATCACTTCTCTGGATGTAGGTGGCTCTCATTTGCAGGTCTCCAAAGCTAGAGTCCACTTTGTCTGAGTAAGTGATGGTTCAACAGGGCTGCATGTCCAAGATAACCTACTTACATTATGCTCTTTTCACTTACATTGAAAACCAAATAGAAAACGATTAATTGCAGGTGAGATGGGTCACATGTAGCCTAGGATGGCTTCAATGTCCTATGTACTCGAGGGCAACCTTCAATTCCTGAACCTCCTGCCTTTATCTCCCAAATACTGGAATTTATTATTTAATTTTTGGTTTTTCCAGACAGGGTTTCTCTGTGGTTTTGGAGCCTGTCCTGGAACTTGCTCTGTGGACCAGGCTGGCCTCGAACTCACAGAGATCCGCCTGCCTCTGCCTCCCGAGTGCTGGGATTAAAGGAAGGCAACACTACTGCTCAGTTTATTTTTTTTCCGCTTCACGATTTTGCGTGTCATCCTTGCGCAGGGGCCATGCTAATCGTCTCTGTATCGTTCCAATTTTAGTATACGTGCTGCCGAAGCAAACACTTATTTTTTTATTTTATTTTTTTATAATTTTTTTAAGATTTATTATGTATACAACATTCTGCCTCCATGTATGCCCGCACGCCAGAAGAGGGCGCCAAATCTCATTACAGATGGTTGTTGAGCCACCAGGTGGTTGCTGGGAATTGAACTCAGGACCTCTGGAAGAGCAGTCAGTGCTCTTAACCACTGAGCCATCTCTCCAGCCCTCCAGTGTTTTGAAAAGCCAAAAACAAGCTCCCTTCCCCCCACCAAAAAAAATATGTAGGTATTTTATGACTTCTACTTTCAGGTACTTTTCTTTTGGTGCAGGAAAAGCACTGGATTTAAAGAAAAGTTGACTTTTTTAAAAAGAATCTCTAGTCACTTGGTTTTATTCTTCTGTCTTTTTTTTTTTTTTTTTTTAATCCCAAGTGCTGGGATCATGTTTCACCACCACTTGGCTGGTGGGGAGGGCAACTTACTAAGCCATTTTATTTACTTTTGTCTTCATTACCATCTTTTTCTTCCTAAGAACTAGTGTACTAGGGCTGGAGAGATGGCTCAGTGGTTAAGAGCACTGAGTACTCTCCCAAAGGACCCAGGTTCAATTCCCAGTATCTACATGGCACCTAACAATTGCTTTAACTCCTGATACTCCCACAGATATACATGCAAGCAAAAACAAAATGCATCTTAAAAAAAATACTAGTGTACTTCCTATTATTGAACCAGTTAGTTTTGCCATTATACTTTTTTTTTTATTTTTCCATTCAAAAAATGTACACTTCCCCTCCTCCCATTCCCCTCCCACTCTCCCACCCCTCCTCCCTCTCTCCCTTCTTAAGAGAGGGCAGAGAACCCTGTCTTGTGGGAAGTCCACCCCCCACCACATCCAGTCCTAGGAAGCTTTGCATCCAAATAGACAAATAGACTAGGGTCCCAAAAAGCCACTGATAAAGGCACTGGGACTTGTTTCTGCTGCATTATACTTTTCTTTTTGAGCCTCAATTTATATGGCTTTTGTGATAACTTCTCTTTACATAACTGCTTGGTTTTTGTCCTTTATCTTGCAATTTCTTATTTTTGAAAGTAGGTAGGATATAACCTTGAGTTCTCCCTCCATTCTTCTGAATGAGAATAATTTTTATATTTTCTTAAGTTACACATAAAAATCGTAAAGTAAGAGAATGCTTAAAAACTCACTTTCCATCTCACTACATTGAATGGAAGTCAAATGGAAGCCTGCGTCAAAGGTGAATAGGGACTGAAAACAAGCAAAGAAATAAACTGTGGTCAAAAATACATGAAATCTTGTCAATATATTTTTATGCCAAAATCGGTTCTAAGGGAGCAAAATGTTCTGTAAATTTTAACAGTAACAGTAAATTTAGGCACTGATGTTAACTAAAAATACATATTATGAACAGTCAGCTTCTCTCCTGTAACTCAGTATGTTTTCTAAAGCAATAAAACAATTCAGCTTTGTCTCAAAACTGAAATTCAACGTATTATAAGAGTAATGTGAATATTATTGATTTTTATGATGTTTTATTTATTTTTAGACATAGGGTCTTGTTGTGCAGCTCAGGCTAGGCTGGAACTAGCAGCAATCCTCTTGCCTTAGCTTCCGAGTGCTGGGATTACAGGGCTGCAGCAACCACACTTCTGTGATCTTGAAAGTAAATGTCATTGTTTCCAATATTTTCAGTGTTGATCATTTCCAGTGACTGTCTGCCTCATAATGCCTCTATAAAAACAGAAGCCAGAAAATCAAACAATCATTTATAAACAATCTTTTTTATAAATAAGGCAGTAAAAATAAATATGAAAAATAAAGACGCCCAAATTGGCATGGCTTCTGGAAGTCTCAGGCAGAGTGAGAATGTGGGTCTAACTTTAGTTCTAGGATCATCCTATCAGATTATATTGTAACTTTACCACCAACCACAGAAACTTGATTAAGAACATTATTGACAAAAATAAAACACAGTGGGGCTGGAAGATGGCTCAGCAGTTAAGAGCATGCCCCTAATCCTGGCCCTCGTGTGGCATATCTGGAGGCAGAGACAGGAGAATCCCTGGGAGCTTGCAGACCAGTGCAATGAGATGCTGTCTCAAACACAGTAGAAAGCAAAGACCAACAACAATCTTGTCCTCTGAACACCCCATGACAACTGTGGATCACATACAACCACATTCGCCCACATACACAAATGTACACACATGCATCACACAGGAAAGAAGACATTGGTAGAATGGTGTGTGTGTGTGTAGAGGTCTGATCACATCTCAGAGTGTCATTCCCCAGCTGTACACCCTAGTCTTTTAAGACAGCCTCACTGGCTTGAAGCCCCAGGTTCAGCTGTCCTGGCTGCCTTGTGAGATCCACTGATCTGCCTGTCTCAGGTTTATTTCATGTGGGTTCCAAGGATAAAACTCATATCTTCATGCCGGTATGGCAAGCATTTTATTGAATGAAGTATCTCCCCAGCCCATGATGAAATGATCTCTAAGTTTTTCTCTAACAATGTAGATATGTAATAACTATATTTAAAATGTTAAGCCTGTATCCTAAAAATAAACAAAACCAGGTTATGTGAGCTTTTAACTTTACATTTTAACATAATAAACACCTAAACTTATTTGGTATCAAATTGATTTTCCAAGTACACCAATAGATAATGTAAATTTCTAGTATTTATTCTTCCCAAAATATTTTTTTGTTTTGTTTTGGTTTTTTGAGACAGGGCTTCTCTGAACAGTCCAGTCCTGGCTGTCCTGAAACTCACTTTGTAGACCAGGCTGACCTCGAAGTCACTGAGATCCACCTGCCTCTGCTTCCTAAATGTTGGTATTAAAGGCATTTGCCACCACCACCCTGCTCCGAAATGTTTTCTTTTTCTTTTTTTTCTTTCGGTTTTTCGAGACAGGGTTTTTCTGTGGCTTTGGAGCCTGTCCTGGAACTAGCTCTGTAGACCAGGCTGGTCTTGAACTCACAGAGATCCGCCTGCCTCTGCCTCCCGAGTGCTGGGATTAAAGGCGTGCGCCACCATCGCCCAGCCAAAATGAGTTTTTAAAGTAAACTATATTATCAGCTTATGTTGTACGAGCTGTGTCCACAACATGATAAAACAAGGAAATGACATTAAAACACTGGAAATGAGTACATGATATACCTATAATGTCTTCATGAAAGGTGGTGGTGCACGCCTTTAATTCCAGCACTTGGGAGGCAGAAGCAGGTGGATCTCTGTGAATTCAAGGCCAACATAGTCTACAGAAGAGAGTTCCAGGATAGCCAGAGCTGTTGTTACAGAGAAACCCTGTCTCAAAAAACAAAAAGCACACAAAAGTCGTCATGAAACCCATTATTATACCATTTATTAAAAAAAAGTCACACTGGGGTACTAGAAAGATGTAGCAGTTAAGAGCACTGCTGCTCTTACAGAAGACTTAAATTCAGTTTCCAGCACCTCCATGGTATTTCAGAACTGCCTGTAAGAGTTCGTGGGGATCCAACATTCTCTCCTGTGCTTTACAGACATGGTACACAGACACACAAGCAGGCAAAACACTCATAAATCTTGAAAATATTTCTGCGTGCATACAAATCTATTTGTATTAGCTTTTCATCACTATAATAGCTGAGATAAAAGGTTTATTTTGGCTCAGTTTTAGAGGTTATAGCCCATGATCAGACAAACTCAGTGCTTCCAGGTCTCTGGTCGGTTTGCCAGATGATAAGACCAAACTGTTCACCTCAAGACCAGGAAGCAAGAGAAAAAACAGACCTGGAGTCCCACAATCCTCTCCGAAGTACACCCTCAAAATGATCTAAAGATTTCCCATAAGGCCCTACTTCTTAGTTTCTATTACCTTCCAATAATACCTTCCTGGAAGCAAACTTTTAGCCACATTAATCTTTGATGGCTACTTTATATTTTAACTTTATATTTTGATAGATGAAGTCATACTATCAATATTCATGTATGTACATCTATTACCAGAAAGGGTAATCATATTGATGACATGAAATAAAAGAAAATCTGTATCTTTTTAATTTATCATACACTCTAACTCTAAGATGAAATCCAAACCCAACCACCATCTGCCAGGTAGACTTGTTTGTCCAAACCAACTGGAGACAGTAAGCAGAAAAAAAAAAGACTGGATTCTCCCTCAGTGACAGGGTTTCTTTATATAGCCCTGGCTGTCCTGGAATTCACTCTGTAGCCCAGGTTGGCCTCACACGAAGAGATCCACTGGCCTCTGCCTCCCAAGTGCTGGGATTAAAGGCGTGCACCACCACCCCACCGCTCAGCATTAGGGAATATTTTTGGCTCTTGCAGAAGGCTGGGGTCTGGTTCCCAGCACCTTCATGGTGACTCAGTATCATTTAACTTCAATTCCAGGGGATCCACCAACCTACTCTGGCTTTTGTAGGCACCAGCACACACATAGTGAACGAACACACATGAACACACACACACACACACACACACACACACACACACACACACACACACACAGGAAACACCCATACAAATAAAAATAAATTAAAAAAGAAAGTGGAAGTAGAAAATTGACTCCCCACGTTGTCCTCTTACTACAAGTACACCATGGCATATGCATACAGAAAAAATAAATTTTTTCCCAGAAGAGTCTGTAACTATTTCCCATTCATATCAAATAATTCTGATTCACTCATGGCATGAGTGAATGTGTCTATATTTTAAAGAATATGTGCTTATATTTAAAGAGTATCAAAAACTTATATGTACTACAATGAATATCATGTGGCGAGTCTCTACTGAGATTAGTTTTGGGTCAGCACTCTTCCTCCTGTTCTCGTGACCGTTTCCGGAAATTCAAAGACGCTCCTGCCTGTGACGAAGGAACAGTGATGGCAGCATCTCGAAATCCCTGAGGCTGCAAGATGAAGAATACACAAATACACTTAGTGAACATTTAAAGTAAAAATTAATTTTCCAAATAGTTTTTAAATAACACTGAATAAGGATGTTCTCTAAGACTCTAATAGTTCAGTGATGAGGCCCAACACCCTTTTGCCCAAGTTAACAACAAAAAGTTCTCTAAAAAGAATCCTAGTAAGCCTTATGGTACCTGCCGGGAGAAGTGGAAATAGTCTGATCTGCTATTTATCTGCTTTACAAATCATCGTCACAATAAAATATTCTGTCTGGCATGTGGTATGTATCTGTAATAGTAAGCCCTCAGGCAGCTGAGGCAGGAGGATCAAAAGTTCAAAGTCAGCCTGGACTATATATATAACAAGACCTCTTCTCAAAAAGACAAAACAACGGCAGGTTAGTGAAAGTAAGGGCAGTGTAAACACTAAGTAAAGAATTCATTTTCAGAACTGCTTTCCATTTTTCTCTCTATCCTTACAAGATGGCTGCTTAGTGTGGTGGCGCACACCTTTAATTCTAGCACTCGGGAGGCAGAGGTAGGCAAATTTCTGAGTGTGAGGCCAGCCTGGTCTATAGAATAAGTTCTAGGACAGCGAAGGCTATGTAGAGAGACCCTGTCTCAAAAAAAAAAAAAAAAAAAACAAGGGTTGGAGAGAATTGGCTCAGTAGTTAAGGGCACTTGTTCTTGAGAAAGACCCAGGTGGAGGCTCACCCTCCTTGGACACCAAGCACACAAACTGTATACAAATGATATATAAATTTTAAAAATATATTGAATAATGAAGCTCAAGGTCATGATTAGCTTTGTAGTGAGTTTGAGGGTGACTTGGGCTTGGTGTCTAATGATGGAAGTGTTCAGGAGAGTGACATAAGTTTGGCAGCTACTACAGACCAAATACTAATACCAGCATTATCCTTCCTTGTTGTTGCTGATATTTCTGAAAGAGGACCAAATACTAATACCAGCATTATCCTTTCTTGTTATTGCTGATATTTCTGAAAGAGGACCAAATACTAATACCAGCATTATCCTTTCTTGTTGTTGCTGATATTTCTGAAACAGGACCACATACTTTGTACGCTGGACTTGAACTACTGATCCCCGTCTACCTCAGTCTCCTAGTGCAGGCCGTCATGTCCAGTTGTACCTTTTCCTTTCTGAAAACTTTTAACATAAAAATCTGTAGGAGATTTTACAGATGCCATGAAACAGAAATATTTCCTCTGTTCTCAAAGATAATTATTTTTCTTTTTTGGCTTTTTTTGTTTTTGTTTTTGTTTTTTGAGACAGGATTTCTCTGTGTAGCCCTAGCTGTCCTGGAACTAGCTCTTGTGGACCAGGCTGTCCTGGAACTCACAGAGATCTGCCTGCCTCTGCCTCCCAAGTGCTGGGATTAAAGGCATGTGCCACCACCACCCAACTGTAACTACAGTATTCTGTTAGTACTGTTTTGGTGATGTTCTCCTGATGTGGGAGTGTCATATATCAATCTGTTGATTTCATTGGTTAAGCAATAAAGAAACTCCTCGGCCCTGATAGGTTAAAACATAGGTGGGAGGAGTAAACAGAACAGGATGCTGGGAGGAAGAGGAAGTGAGCTCAGACTCGACAGCTCTGCTCTCTGGAGCAGAGGCCCTGCTTAGCTCTCCTGGGCATACGCGATGAAGCTCCTACCCAGGATGGACGTAGGCTAGAATCTTCCGGGTAAGCACACCTAGCGGTGCTACACAGATGATAAGAAATGGGCTAAATTAATATGTGAGAATTAGCCTATAAGAGGCTAGATAGAACTGGGCCAAGCAGTGTTTAAATGAATACAGTTTGTGTGTTGTTATTTCGGGGCATAAGCTAGCCAGGCGGCTTGGGTGCTGGGGACGCAGCCCCGCTACTCCTATTACAACATTCTCCCACCAAAACTGTCTTCAAACATGCTTGCTGCTTATAAGATTAACAGAAACCATTTGTACATGACCCCTTCAGATATTTACTGCCCACCAACACCAAAACCCCACTCTGATTAAATAATACTAACTGTGATCTGAAATGGTATTGTGGACTCCTTCTGGCTTGGCGACTTGTACAATGTTGCAAATCTGTTTGAAGAGAAAAATACATATAAACATTACTTCATTAGGTTGCATGGCTGATTTCATAATTTAAATGTGCAGAATCTTATCAAGTGTTCTCGAGAACATAATTGTAGAGAAATATTAAGAAACAGAAAATCTCCCCTCACGGGTTACCATACGGACGCCTTTAGTTTCAAGTAGGCAGAGGTAGGATTTTTTTGAGCCTACAAGTTCAAGGGCAGTCTGTGTCTTAAAACAAAATCCTTCTTTTAAAAAAAAAATTCCATGTAAGTATGCAATAACTAATACATCCAATAAGGTTGTTTGTATATATAAAAATTAAATGACAGATTTAAATAAATAAATTACTTGATATGCAATTGATGTGGGAGTGTCATATATCAATCTGTTGATTTCATTGGTTAAGTAATAAACACACTGCTTGGCCTCATAGGTTAAAGCATAGGTGGGTGGAATAAGCAGAATAGGATGCTGGGTGGAAGAGGAAGTGAGGTCAGACTCTGCTCTGCTCCCGGACAGACCCGACAGCTCTGCTCTTCTGGAGCAGAGACACCATGATGGACGGAGGCTAGAATCTTCCCGGTAAGCACACCTTGGGGTGCTTACACACATCATTAGAAATGGGCTAGTCCAGGTACGAGAATTAGCCTGTAAGGGCTAGAGTTCATGGGCCAAGCAGTTCTTAAATGAATACAGTTTGTGTTGTTATTTCGGGCATAAGCTAGCAAGCGGCTGGGGTGTTGGGGACGCAGCCCCGCTGCTCTTATTTCAACATGCAATGCTACTTATGCTAAAAATTAAAAGTGGTGAAAAATATGTAACAATAGGAAGGTACTAATGACACATGTCACTAGGAATATAGTAGTGTTTGATGAGGCTCTAGGTTCAATCCAAAGCACTGCCAAAAAAGAAAAACTGCTGGACAGTGGCAGTGCATGCCTTTAATCCCAGCACTCAGGAGGCAAAGGCAGGCAGATCTCTGAGTTCCAGGACATCCAGAACTACACAGAGAAACCCTGTCTGGAAAAGCAAACAAAAAGACAAAAGACAAAAAAGAAAAAAAAAAAAAGAAAAAAAAAGGGAAAAAAATTTAAAAAACAACAAAAAATGCTAGAAGTAGCTGGGGGGGTGGGGGGTGGTGGTGGACACCTTTAATCCTAGCACTTGCGAGGCAGAGGCAGCCTGATCTCTGTAAGATCAAGGCCAGCCTGGTCTACAGAGTAAGTGCCAGGATAGTCAGGGCTACATAGTGAAACACTATCTCAAAAAATTAAAAAAGAAAGAAAAGAAAGGAAAATTAGATAATCTTACAAAAAGTACACAAGTCGTCTTACATCTCCAGTATTTGCCAAAAGGTGTCAAGTACATCTGAATTTTTGAGGAAATTATTAAGAAGCGATAACCTCGACTGCTCACTCACTCTGGGTGCAGGGAATATGGCCCAAGGGCTTTCTGAGACTGAGTATTCCTACGTGGCTCACACTGGTCATGAACTCCCAAGCTTTCTCTCAAGTACGTTCTACCATGCATGCCCAAGTCAAAAAAAGGAGTAAGATTTTTAAGAAGCCTTTATACATTTAGTACAAATCACTAAATTAACACTAGATGTGGTGGATTGTGCCTATAATGCTAAAGCAGGATGCAAGAGGATTGCTAAGAGTTCCAGGCCAGCTTGGGCTACAGATAGGAAAAAGCAACCCTAAAGTCAAAAGGGAATTGATCAACCTTTTAAGTTAGGAAATTCTCTTCAAATTTCTAGGTAAAAAAATCTTTGTACATCATGTCAGCATCTCAAAAAGATCTTTTTTTTCAAGAGATCTTTTTAAACTAAACCAAAAAGAATCACTTGGCTCACAGCCCTAGCTGAGATGAAGCTTAACATATGGCTGAACTACATAGTTTGGGTCAGGAAGAAACAAGACAGAAGTACAATTTGTGCTCTAAAGCTGAGCACACATATGAAATGCTGTGTGGGGGTGTCAAGTATTACTCCACTCTACCACCAGATCTTCTTGGCAACGAGGGGTATAATTCTGAACAATCTTGGCCTCATATCATCATGATTATGCAAATTGGGGAACCCACATAATGTAAGTACGCAGACATAATCATTTAATTGTTGGAATGCCATTCTGTCATTTGTCAAAGGTTAAAAATCAGATGTTGCTGGGTAGGAAGTGTTGGGGCACATCTTTAACCTCAGGACTGGGGAGGCTGAGGCAGGTGGATCATCGTAGCAAATTCCAGACCCGTCAGAGCTACACAGCAAGATCCTATCTTAAAAAAAAAACAAAAAGCAAAATATAAAATCAGATGTTACTAGTCCATGAGAAAATATCTAAGCTCAATTCATATTATAAATATTATTCAAGGTTTTAGGTTTTTCTGTTTATATTTAAAGTGTTCATTTTTATAATTATCAGTTTATAAATTATTTTCATATTTTTAAAATAAATTTCTAAAAAGCAGAAATGGCAGAGTGTTTGCTTAGCATTTCCCAGGCCCTAATTCCCTAATATCTGGGGAATAAAGTGGGGTACTTTTTTGCAAACTCAGTATTTATGAAGTAGAAGCAAAAGTTTCAAGAATTAAGGCCATTCTATGCTATCTAGTAAGTTACAGGCCAGCATGGGCTACTTGAGAGTCTATCTCAAAAACAAACAACAAATAAAAAGCATGTAAGACTTCACGCAATCTTATGGATGGGCCCATAGCTCATCTATAGTAGGAGAGCTTGTATTGAGCATGCTCAAAAGTCCTCGTTCAATTTCTAGTACCCAAAACCCAAACCAAACAAAACCACCATATTCCCTATAAGCAAATATTTCACAAAACTTAAAGACAATTTAGTTTCAAACAATAAAAAAAAATCTTGATTCTTTAGCGACTGAATTCTGATTATCATAAAGTATACACATCACTGTCATATCTACAGACTTGAAATCAACAATTCAGAGGAAAAGCACTTCTACTAGGGAATAAAAGAATTGCATGCAATATTATAATTATCTTCTAGAAAAGTTATTACAGGACAAAGGGAAAGAATTCATGCCTGACCAAGTTAGGTTTTAGTGACTGCACTGGTGCACAGTCTTTTCCAACTGACTCAGGCAGTCTCTACCTCCAGAGGCTACTGCACACAAAGTCCGTGCCTTCCTTTCCCTTACAGCCACAGTAAGGGCTGGAGAAGTGGCTGCGGAGTGCAGAGGTTCAGTTCCCAGTACCCACACGGCAGCTCACAACCATCTCTAATTCTAGTTCCAGGGGATCCAGTGCCCTCTTTTGACCTCTGTGGGCACCAGACATGCAAAAATCGGCAGGAAGACTACTCACATAAAATAAATAAATCCCTTTTTAAAAATTAAATAAAGCTGGGAGTAGTGGTGCACCTCTTTAATGTCAGCACTCAGAAGGCAGAAGCAGGCAGATCTCTGTGAGTTCAAGGCCAGCCTGGGCTGTACAACGAACTCCGTGACAGCCAGGGCTACATTGACAGATGCTGACCTGGAACTACACAGGCCAGGTTAGCCTCGAACTCAGACTATTCTCCTCAGTCGTGAGTGCTGGTATGTGCGAACATACCTAATCACAATATGAATTTGAAAGAGAACTAGATGGTATGTAATGCAGCTAAGAATAAAATAAAAATATAGTATCGCTGACTAAGCTCAATATTGCCCTACATACTGCCTCAGTTTCCTTCTTTATTAGAGCACTTCCATACCAAGTTCTCTAGGTTATGCCAATTAATCATCACAAAGCAGAAAGGCTGGCATAAATCTGATATTTTTTGAAGTTCAGAATAAAAGACTTCATAGCTTTCAATGGCCTACTTTAAAGAAAAGGAAAGCGGGTCCATTCACTTGCGCAGCAGCTTTAGAAACAAACACAAAGGCTCCATGCTGCCATGATTTTATTTTAAAGAACAATACTTGTGAAAGGCAGGTAAATACATGGGTAATAAAAGGGGAAAAAATGACAGACACAATTTCATGCAAGAACTATATTAAGCAACTAAGAAACACCATCCTATTTTCCACATGTATTAGTCCTAACGCTAACCTCAAAAGTTTTCCTTTTGTCCTGATTTTATTCTTCTTTCAATCCCTTCTGGGAACGCGGGGTACCACCTCCTTCTTCATAGCTAATAAGGGATTTCAAAGAGTATCAGAAGGCAGCAATTCCTTAGCCACCTACATGTTCCAGGTGCATTCACCCCATCATTTAAATACACAAAGAATTCCCTACGTAGCTGAATGTGCAGTACTAACAGTGTGTTTCTGTTTTCTATAACTGATGTCAAACAAGGCAACAAAAGCCGTGGTTTATGGGTCACTGCAAGTCTCAAGCTGAGGACTAATGCTAGGAACCATTAAGTACTCAGTGTAATTAGACTGATATTCTGAATTATGAACTTATTTCTATACTGACCTTTGCGTTTGTTCCCAATGAAAAATAAGCCTTATCGTAGCAGCGTGCCCCCAGCTTTCCCCTTAAAAAAAAAAAAAAAAAAAAATTAACTATATAATACCTTTAGAATTATAAAAGTTGCTTAGAAGGTCTCTGGCCAAATACAATCTTAGATTACCAAATTTAGAATAAAAATATTCTTGAGCTGGGCGGTGGTGGCGCACGCCTTTAATCCTAGCACTCGGGAAAGCAGAGACAGGTGGATTTCTGTGAGTTCAAGGCCAGCCTAGTCTACAAGAGCTAGTTCCAGGACATGCACCAAAAACTACAGAGAAACCCTGTCTCGAAAATCAAATTAATTAATTAATTAACTAATTAATTAATTAAAATAAAATTCCTGGACCAGGTGGGGTAGTGGATGCCTTTAATCCCAGCTCTCAAAAGGCAGGTGGATCTCTTTGAGTTCAAGGCCAACCTGGTCTACAGAGCGAGTTCCAGGAAAGCCAGAGCAGTTACACAGAAAAACCCTGTCTTGAGAAACTAAAAAAAGAAAAGAAATATAAAATAATAAAGTATTTAGTTAAAAAAAATAATATTCTTGGTTTTGACCAGGCAGTGGTGGTGTATACCTTTAATCCTAACACTTAGGAGGCAGAGGCAGGGGAATCTCTGAGTTTGAGGCCAGCCTGGTTTAAAGAGTGAGTTTCAGAACACACAGGGCTACACAGAGAAACCCTCTCTGAAAAAACAAAGTATAAACAAAGCAAACCAAAGAATGTTCTTGGTTTCAAAACCTGTGGCACATGAGGAAGATCCTAAGAGTGATAGAGTTTTACTTCTCCAGGAGAGCACTGCAAATCACTGTCCTCTATTTGCTCCACGAAAAGATTATAGTTTCAGTATATTATCAACCTTCCATTCTATAAGGCCTACTATGTATTTTTGACACCCAGTAACAGGGTCTCATTATGGTTCTGACTAACCTGGAATTTGATAGTTAGAGCAGGATGGCCTTGAATTAAGAGAACCCAGTCTGCTGCTGCCTCTGGAGTGCTGGGATTGAAGACAAGTCACCAAGGAGGTTTCATTATGCAGTCCAGGCTTTCCCGGGATTTCTGGGCTAAAGTTCCTCCTACTTCAGCCTCATGAGGGGCTGGGATTACAGTTCTGTATCACCATGTTTGGCACACAGAGTATTACTGGGTTTCAATAATACTTCAAGATAGATCTTGAAACATTGTGTTCTAATAAAATCACATTAGAAATATAGTCATGGACTGGAGAGATGGCTCAGTAGTTAAGAGCACAGACTGTGCTCCCAGAGGTCCTGAGTTCAATTCCCAACAACCACATGGTGGCTCACAACTATCTATAACTAGATCTGGTGCCCTCTTTTGGAGAACACTGTATACATAATAAATAAATCTTAGAAAAAAAAAAGAAATATAGTCATACCTGTTTGCACTGGTGTGATTTGTATTTAAATAGACCTCTTTCCTCCTCCTTTCCTGCCTAAGACCGTGGGCTTAGGTTTTTTTTTAAATTTCTTTTTTATTTTAAGCAGTCAGTGCCACCTCTCTAGCTCCTAAGACAGAGGGGTTTGTTTGCTTGTTTTTTGAGACAGGATTTCTCTATGTAGCCCTGGCTGTCCTGGAACTCTGCAGACTAGGCTGGCCTCAAACTCAGAGATTTGTCTGCCTTTGTGTCCTGAGTGCTGGAATTAAAGGTGTGTGCTACCACTGCCCAGCAAGACTGAGGTTTTAATGTCTAGAATCCTATTTTGAATATTTATTTCTCAGGTTTCTAACACAGCTGCCTGAAAGCAGATACTCAATAAATGTGTTAAATTATGAAAGGATTAGTTGGGATCTCAGGACACTGTACTTAGTGAGCAGACGAGTCAGTGGATTAGCAGTCTCTGTTTTCAAAGCTTATAGTATTCAAGTGACAAGGTAGGAAAATATTAAAATGAAAATGTTTTATCGCATTCATTTACCCACCTAATGCAGGAACAAGTAATGCTTGACTTTTATCAATCTTTGTTGTCATCTGATTTGTTAAAATAACCTATAAGAGAAAAACATAAGAAAGTTAGGACAGTGGTGGAGCACGCCTTTAATCCCAGTGCTCGGGAGGCAGAGGCAGACGAATCTCTGTGAGTTCGAGGCCAGCCTGGTCTACAGAGCTAGTTCCAGGACAGGCTCCAAAACCACAGAGAAACCACGTCTCGAAAAACCAAAAAAAAAAAAAAAAAAAAGAAAGTAAGTTAGGACAGTGGTGGTGCACGCCTTTAGTCCCAGCATTTGGGAGACAGAGGCAGGTGGATCTCTATGAGTTTGCGGCCAGCCTGGTCTACACAGCTAGTTCCAGGGCAGTCAGAGCTACATAGAGAAGCCCTGTCTCGAAAAACAAACAAAAAGTATGTAAACAGTCCTATGAGATAATATTCTGAATATAACAAGTTAAAGAAAATATATTAGAGGCTAAAGAGATGACTCAAATTCAGGACCCAGATTCAGTTTCCAGAACTCACATGGTGGCTCACAATTTTTAACAGGGTTCTCAACCTTCCTAGTGCTTTGACCCTTTAAAACAGTTCTCACGTTGTGGTGACCACCCCCAACCATAAAACTATTTTTGTTGCTATTTCTTTCTTTTTTTTCCCCCAGACAGGATTTCTCTGTGTTACAGTCCTCTGTGTAACTCACTCTGTAGACCAGGCTAGCCTCGAACTCAGAGGTCCGCCTGCCTCTGCCTCCCAAATGCCGGGATTAAAGTTGTGAGCCACCACCACCTGGCATATCTTATACATTTTTATAAACTGCCTTGGTCAGGGATGTAAAAACAAAAATACATAAAGTATTTCAAATTTGCCTTGGTCATGGTACTTCTGTCACAGCAATATAAAGGTAAGACAGCAAGGCATAGCAGTACATTCATTTAATCCCAGCACTTTAGAGATAGAGGCAGGAGCAAAAAACCCAAGTCACTATCCACCATCTTTAATTCCAGTATTAGTAGATCCAATGCCCTCTTCTGGCTTCCTTGGACACAGCACTGACATGGTACACAAACATACATGCAGGTATAGCACCCATGTACATATAAAAGACTTAAAAGAAAAAACGCCAGGCAGTGGTGGTGAATACTTTTAATCCCAGTGCTTGGGAGGCAGAGGTAGGTGGATCTGAGTTCAAAGACAGCCTGGTCTACAAAGTGAGTTCTAGGACAGCCAGGGTTATAATAGAAAATCCCTGACTCAAAAAAACAAACAAACCAAAACCAGACAAACACAAAAAAAACTAACTAAGGCAGAGAGCGACTAAGAAGGATAATAGTGCTGACCTCTGGGCTCCACAGGCAAATGCACACGTGTACATGGGCCTCCATGTGTACACACAAACCAAAATTTATACATATAAAAGAGAAAGGGCTAAATTAAAATAGGGCAGGGGATATGCTTTAATGGCAGAATGTTTGCGTAGTATATCTGAAGTCTTGGGTTAGAGGAGCAGCACCAGCAGCAGCAAAATAACACAAGAAAAACCCACCAAAACCTAGGAAACTGTAACACTCTGCAGCCTATTTGTCTTGAGTGCCCTCTACTGGGGGATCTTCAGGATACCAGCACTAAGGATGCTAAATTCCAATTAGCAGTAAGAAAGGGCACTATGCTTTAGCAAAAAGGATATGGCAAGATACAGTAAGATGGTAAAGTGGTACTCAGTGGGTAAAGGCACTTTCCATGCAGTCTGACAACTTAGGTTTGATCTCTGGGAAAACATAGTGGAGAGAACTGGCTTTAATCCTAGCACTGGGAGGCAGAGGTAAGCGGATGTCTGTAAGTCTGAGGCCAGTCTGGTTTACAGAGTGAGTTCCAGGACAGGCTCCAAAGCTACCCTATCTCAAAAAACATTTAAAACAAACAAACAAACAAAAAAACAGAGGGGCTGGAGATGGCTCAGAGGTTAAGAGCATTGACTGCTCTTCCAGAGGTCCTGAGTTCAATTCCCAGAAAACACCTGGTGGCTCACAATCATCTGTAATGAGATCTGGTGACCTCTTCTGGCCTGCAGGTATAACACTGTATATATAATAAATCCATAAAATTTTTTTAAAAAAGACTAAGATTTGGAAACACAAAGAAAAAGTGTATGGTTTAAATTTTACAGAGGAAGTTTTTTTATTTACATTTGGTGTATCACAGGCATGTGCTAACAATTTCCCTTAACAGGTTAAAAAAAAAAAAACCCAGGGTATGTTGTAGGAGCTGTGGGCCTCTTCCCACAGCCTGGCTCGTGGCCACTTGGCTAGCTTATGCCCCAATATAACAACACGGAAACTGGATTCTTTTAAAACTCTGCTTGGCCCATTATATCTAGCCTCTTCTCTGCTAACTCTCGCACCTGGACTAGTCCATTTCTAATAATGTGTGTAGCACCCCAAGGTGCGCTTACCTGGAAGATTCTAGCCTACGTCCATCCTGGGTTGGAGCTTTGCGTCTGCCTGGGAGAGGGGAGCATGGCCTCTGCTCCAGAGAGCAGAGCTGTCGAGTCTGAGCTCACTTCCTCTTCCTCCCAGCATTCTGTTCTGCCTACTTCACCCACCTAAGGGATGGCCTATCAAAATGGGCCAAGGCAGTTTGTTTATTACCAAGGACCTTCTTCCATCAAGGGTAACTCAGCATTTTTATCTCCTGTCTCTCTTCTGAAAGTGCATTTTTGTCAATGGGAGGATGTGGTTGCAGAGTGAAAATTAATGGCAAACAGGTAACCCTGCACTCTTTGGTTCACATATATTTGCCTACCATGCATGAGGCTCTCATGCAAAATATGTATAAATTTAAACATCGATTTTTTTGTTTTGTTTTTCAAGACAGGGTTTCTCTATGCAGCATCGGCTGTCCTGGAACTCACTCTGTAGACCAGGTTAACCTCGAACTCAGGGACCCACCTGTCTCTGCCTCCCGAGTATTGGGATTAAAGGTGTGTATTACCACCACTGCCCAGCCAGACATTAATATTTCATACAGTCTTAGCTATAAAATTCTTCTAATAATACTTACAGCTAATCTGTGATTGTTTGCGAGGCTGATCATTTGTTGGGCCAGGCCATTCAGTAACCGCGTACGAAGGGACAGATCATCAAAGTCATGGCGGAAAGGAAAAGCAATGCCATCGATTATCACTAACTGCACCTAACACAGGAGAATGAAATTGGGTTTGGAGTTACAATTACAATGAACATATCCCATTACAGAAATAAACCTTAAAACTGAGGGCTTAAAAAAGAAAGAAATCAAGTTGGGTGGGGTGGCACAGGCCTTTAATCCCAGCACTCGAGAATCAAAGACAGGTGGATCTCTTTTTGAGGCCAACCTAGTCTACAAAGCAAATTCCAGGTCAGCCAGGGCTGTTACAGAGAAAGCTTGTTTGAGGGAAAAACAACTCCCCATCAAAAAAGAAAAAGAAAAAAAGCCATCTAGCTTGCTAGCTGGACATTTTTGATACAGTTGGAGAGATGGCTCAGCAATTGAGTGTACATTGCTCTTAAAGAAGATGCAAGTTCAGTTCCTAGTACCCATGTCAGGCAGTTCACAACTTCCTATAACTCCAGGTATCTGTCTAGGGGATCCAATGCCCTCCTTTGGCCTCCAGTCACTTGCATAATTAAAAATAAAGACATGGTGGTATATATCTATAATCTCAGCATGCAGAAGGTGAAGGAAGGATGGTGAGTTTCAGGCCAGGCTGGGCTATACAGTGAGACTCTAACTCAAATTAAATAAAAATAAAGAGTTTTCTTTTATAATGCGAGGAATTAAACCTGTGGCCCACAGATGGTAAGCACTCTACTACTGAGCTATATACCTCACTCTAGGGTTTTATTTCTAATTCTTCAAAGGTTTCCTCTTAAAATTCATTTTATTATTCTATGCATATTAGTTTTGCCTCCATGTATGTCTGTGCACCATGTTTGTGCCTAGTACCTGTGAAGGCCAGCAGAGGGCAAGGGATCCCTTAGAACCAAATTTACAGATGGTTGTGAGCCACTATGTGGCTGTTGGCATTCCAACTCTGAAGAGCAGTCAGTGTTCTTAACCATCTCTACGGCCTTCAAAGGCTTTCTTTCTTCTGCAAAGTATCACCCAATGATTCTACATTAATCATCACCTGAATACTAGCATTACATGCACATGCAAGGTTCGAGCTTCATTTCTGTTGCTGGAGATGGCTCAGCAGTTAAGAGCACTGGCTGCTCTTCCAGAGGACCCAAGTTCAATTCATAGCACCCACATGGCAATTCACAATCTTCTTTAACTCCAGTTCCAGGAAACCAGTGCCCTGTTTCAGGCCTGTGTAGAACATTGCACATACATGGTACACAGACATAAATGCAAACAAAATGCCCATATATACATTAATAAAAAATTAACCAAAAAATCATATGGTGTGGTGGTTTGAATGAATATCCCCGAGAGTCTAGTATCTGAATACTTGGTTCCCAGTTGGTAGCACTTTTTGGTAAGGCTTAGGAAGTATAGCCTTGCTAGAGAAAGTACATCACTGGGGACATGTTTTGAGGTTTCAAAGCCATGTACCATTTCCAGTTTGTTCTCTCTGCTTCTGGATTGCAGTTAAATATGTAAGCTCTCAGCTGTGCCATCTCTGATGCTACGACTCCCTGCTATGATGGACTCTTAACCCTTTGCAACCAAAATGTCTGTGTTGTCATAGCAACAGAAAACTCACTGTAAGACACCCCACAAAGCCACAGAAATCTTAAAATTCACTGTAAGACTCCCCACACAGCCACAGAAATCTTTAAAAGAACAAAGTTAAGAGGATCCTATTTCCTAATTTCAGAATGTACTACAAAGCTATAGTAACCAAAACAGTCTAATAGTAGCAGAGAATCTGTGGTAGAACACTTGCCTCACGCTGATCAGACTTTAACTTTGAGCCATAACAAAAACAAAGAAACAGAGAGAGTGACTAAAGAGAGGTAAACCAATTGAAATAAAAAAAAAAAATAGAACAAATGCCAGGCATGGTGGCACACACCTTTAATCACAGCACTCAGAAGGTGGAGGCAGATGGAACTCTGAGTTTGAAGCTAGCCTGGTCTACAGTACAAGTTCTAGGACAGTGAGGGCTACACAAAGAAACCTTGTTTCAGAAAAAAAAAATTAAATAATAATAAAAATAAAACACACTGAATATTGTAACAAAAGCCTGTATCCTGGCACTTGAGTGAAGACAGAATGTTTGAGAATTCAAAGTCAGCTGAGCAGTGTGGCCCACACCTTTAATCTCAGCACTCTGGAGTGGAGGCAGATAAACCTCAAGGCCAGACTGGTCTACAATGTGAGTTCCAGGACAGACAAGGCTACACAGAAAAACCTTGTCTAAAAAAACAAAATAAAACCTATAAGCTAGGCGGTGGTAGCACACATATTTAATCACAGCACTGGGGAGGCAGAATAGGTCGATCTCTGTGAGTTCAAAGCCAGCCTGGTCTACAGAGCTAGTTTAAGGACAGGCTCCAAAGCTACACAGAGAAACCTTGTCTCAAAAACCCAAAAACAAAAAAACAAGACCAAAAAAAAAA